TATTTGATTTTTTTTTGAATAATGTCGATTTGATACTATATAGTGAGACGATTGGAGATGTACTTAAAAAATCACAGATAATTTGGCGGTATCAAAAGTTTTGGCTGATTTATGAATGCAGTGAAATGTCTGTAGTGCCTCCTCCTCTAAACATTATCTACCATGTAGTGCACTTTATAATCTATGGATTGTTCCACAAAATATACATTACCTTACTTGGGAATATGTCTCGTAAAATTTTACACACTTTTATAGTTTGATAGTTATTTATTCACTTTAGGTGCAAGATTAAACAAAAATGTCGAACAAAGCTTATGTTCGATAAACTCTGCAAACAACTTCCGTGACAAGGATACTGAGGTAGAAAAAGCTGCAAACTACTGGAACGAACAGGTATTTGACAAAAATATGAGAATATCAACTGAACTAACTTTAGAACGTTTGGAGACAATGTAAGTGAGGCATTCAGCTGAACATTAATGTTCAATCAATTATTTCTTTTATTCTTTTCTGCAGAATCTACAAAATCAATCACCACCAAGCGGAAAGTTTAGAAAAAGCTAAGGTACAATATGTATTTTGTTTACCCACTTGATCATGTACTAGCAAGTGTGAACTTGTGGATCATATCTTGTCGCAGTAATATTCAGTAATAATACAGAAAATTATTAAGATAAAAGATTTTTTTTTTCTGAAAATATTACGCATGACATTATGACTGCGCTATTTTCATCTCAACTTCCAATGATTTTACTTGAATCTGACTAGAGTTTACATCTGTTGTAAAACATTAAGTGATTGACCCAAATATTCATGAAAGTAATCGAAGGATTGTAGTTTTGAAATATAAAATACAACAGCCCTTGTGAGATTGATAGTTGAATTGAAGAGCGAGACAATCATAAATTAAACATCAATGAGTGCAATCTAGATTCATTCCTTCTTAGAGCAAGTTTAGAAAAGTTTTTGTTCGTCCATAATTTAGTAATATATACCAAAACATTTATAGTTTGCTTTCTATATAGATGTGATGTATGAATAGACGATAGTCTTGAATCATCATTAGAGTCACACGTACATAATATTTCATAAGTCGTGAGGCGTGACAAAATTAGTTAATATGGAAACAGAAAATAACTCCTAATCAAAAGTTTTTATATGAGATTTGAGTACTCGTGTTTATCTTTCAGATGACATACTGTTGAATAATATTTTCTTTTCTAATACTAAAAATATAAGCATTAGAATGTAACAATAAATTTTTCAAAATCGATCAACAAGATATTTTATTCAACAAAAATCGAAACATACTATTTTATAAATACATATATTTTAGTCTGATTATATAAAAAAATCTAATTTAACTATTACATGTTTGTTGTCCATCACTTTTTATTAATAATTCGTCAAGTTTCTTAAAAATTGTGTCAATAATTTTTGAACAATCAGTCGAAGTTATTTTTTTTTTCATTGTTGTTTCAATCTAGTTTTATGTTATTTAAAGCTTGAAATTTGTTCTCGTACTAATTTTGTTAATATTTCTCCTACTCTTTCAGTGGTTCATGTGTCAGCAATTTTATCACCTAGGATTTCATTATCTGAGTAGAAGATATATACCAATATCAATGCTTGACATTGACTAAGAATCGATGGAATCAAAACGGAATTAACTTTGACTCATAAACAAATATTTCCATGTACTACGTGCCATTACATATCATACTTTGTCATACGTGAAACTTCTCGTGATTGAAAGAAGTCTAAAAGGCTTTGTCTCTTGAAATTACTTTCTCAATTTCTGTTCATACTTATAGGATTTTATGATCACAAAAAAAAGCTCTTTATGAAGAAACTGAATTAGGTAATATTGACATAAAGAAAATATGCTTAGTTTTACATAAATGATTGTAACAAAACATAAGTCTAGTTTTAATTGTCAAAAAAGAAAATGAATACTACATATTGAACGTTTGTCATAGGTTGTCTTTTGTATTTCATCACAGCTTATTTTCTTGAATGCTGTTAAATCACAGATATCATATTTATTTGAAAATTTGACAAAGAATAAAAACAACATCCCATTGATCTTCTAATAGGTTCAAATATTCCAGAAACACAGTTTTGTACTATGAAAGGTTATGCATAAATATTTAGAGAGTTCTCCAAATAGTTCAAGCTTGCATAGAAAAATTTTTTACACTTGTATTAATAAGAACCTGTTAGAATTGAGCTTTCGATTCGATTGAGAAAATTAGGATGAATTTTTTGAATCAAATGGGTTTTTATTGAGAATATTTTATTAGACGAGTTTTTTTCTGCTGGATCGTCATATTGTCATTGATTTGTTGGAAATTAAAATGAGAATTATTTTATTGCAACCAATTACATCAACCTATGCACAAGTTTCTAGGTCAATATTACAAAAATTGACTTTTTCATAAATGGCTTGTTGATGGTTGAAAAACTCCATAAAACAGGAAGAGATCGAGAAAATAGCTTTTTCGGTCATGCTTTTCTAGCCGTCTTTCAACCTTGAAGTATTTCATGTGTGGCAAAGTACGATATAGCTCAATGCGTAGCACATGGAAGTCTTTGTCTATTAGTCAAAGTCAATTTGAGTGTTATTGTAACAATTTTTCAACGAGAAATCATAGCTGATGTTTGATTATATTCTCTATGTTTCAATTAGCACCTAGTTATTATTGAATTTTTTCAAAACAATTCATAGACCTAATCTTGCTTATCTGTACGATCGATCAAAGTCTGGTTCATAGTTGCTCTCTTCCAAATTTTCAATGAAAAATTGTGTCATCACTATTTAATATCATTCTATCGTCATTAAAATTGTTGAATTCAATAATAATTATTATTGAATTACGAAACAAATAAAATAATTACATTCATTCACTCTTCTTTACAGAAGATTCTAATTTTTCTTTTGATTTAAAAACAAACATTAAAAATTTTCATTTGTTTTAGCAACAAATATTGATTGTTTATTTGTTACGCGTGCAATACGAACAAAAGTTACCAGTTTTTCATTAAAGATTATATGACAATATTTGAAATGTCTATACACTAAGAGATACGACTAGATATTTTCCTTTTTTGTTATTTAACTTTTTTCTCGAAAGAAAAAACAAGATTTTAACAGTTCTAATTGTTTTTTTAACATTTTCAAATGTAGGAAAAAGAATGCTTCTAAATAGTTTATTTACTAAGAAGATCTTCACTTCATTTCATTTGCAGGATGAGATTCGAGATACACAAGATTTGGTGCATCGAAAATTCATGCAACTATCGCAATTGGAGGGACTTATTACTTCAAAAAGGGGTAAGTATGAATTTATTGCAGCATTATTTTATTTAGATCAAAACACTTTTTGGCTACTTCTATGACTTTGTTGGACAGGGATAGCCCCAAAGCTTCAAAACCAAATAATGTATGACGAATTTTTTGAACACAAAAATGAGAAATAATAGTTCGTGTATGCCATTCGGTTGCATCATACAATGATAAAATGTTAACATATTTCTTTATTCCCATTTGACTATTATTCTTCAATTATTCTAACACACATTATTTGAGTAATTTGCTGATTGATTGATAGTTAGTTCACATGATTAGTTCTAACTTAACATGGGGGATGAGGGAACAATCTATTAGAGATGAATGCCGAGTATTGGCAACTCTTGTTATGCTACAGTCCAACTCGTTAACAATCAGTATTTTTGCTAATGTCATTAGAAAATTATAAACGTTCTACGAATTAAACAAATCACTTTCTTTAAGCCGAAGTAACATTGGTAATCGAGGTTTGCGAGGATTGAACTTAAAAGATCATGAAAAATAACTCATGTTTTCAAAATTCGCCAAGGCAAATTTTCTCATCGCTTGAGAAAAAGGAATAGAAACTACCTAGGATGTTTTATCATCATGTAATTGTTTTTCTTATAACTCTCCACAACAAGAAAACAAATTATAAACCGCTCTCTGTAAAAAACACAATAAGTGTCATACTGCAACCTTTAGGATTCTACATTTAGATAGCATTTAATGAGCCTTTTAAAGTTTTAGCATAATTGGATTCTGTGTAGAATTCTTTCTTTTTGCTTTCGAAAAATGGTTATGACATATTTCAGACAATATTCAGGATAGGTTGACTCAAAGAAAGATTAGCGCAAGAAGTCTATGGAATCTTCTAAGAATATTTCAGTTGAAAACTCTTCTCGTGCTACTGATTTTCTTGCTCGGATGCTTTGAACCTGATCTTGACCAAGATCTCATAATATCTTAGTAGAATGATTCGTACCTATGCTGATAAAATTTTGCTTTCAAAATTACAAAGAAAACCTTCAGTTTGAAGTTTGATAAATTTTTAGGAAACTATCACGGAAGTTTCTAATCAAGTCCTCATATTCTTCTGTAGAGTGATTGTCAGGTGTTACGCTGGTATAACTAAGAATCTAGACTAAGTTCTCATTCTTAGGATCTATGAGACGATCCAAACGTCATGATCGCCGAACAGATGCATATAACGCTACTATTGAACATGCTTCATAAAAAAATTCTTTTGTCTTTTTTATTTCAAATAGAAGGCGAGTTAGTTTCAACTCTCAAAGATCTTCCTCAGCAGTACTAAAGAAAAGATAGAACTTTTGAATACAGCATGAAAATTAGGCTTTTCTTCTGCGCCAAGAACAGCATGCACTTTTCTTTTCTGAAACCTATGTGAGTAGGGTGGAATAAAAGTTTTAAAGATAGATTTCGAATGCGTTTCAATTTTCAAAAAGCTTCTTTCTCGCAGAAAACTATGTAATAAAGGTTTCTGAATTTATGTCTGCTAGATGAGCTTTTTCAAGTTTCTTGGAAGATCCTTTTATCGGTTACAGTATGTTATGGAAAAACATTCTCGAAAGTTATTCCAAGTTTTCTTGAGGAAGAAGATTCGATTCATATTTTTTTCCTACGAGAGAAAGAAGGCTCTTTCAGAATGAAGATGATTTCATTTTCTTTTTCGTTCATTGTAGTGATTCCCAATATTCCAAACAATGCCCGATGGGCAAAAAATGGAATTACTGTAGCCAGTGTAGGCCATGAACTGGACGATATCGACTATCAATTCGGTTCCGCTTTCGGTCTGTCTGTGGATGATGATCAAACTTTGGTCATCGCTGATACTTACCATGATCGCATTGTTCAATGGAAAGTGGATGATGTCAAAGGAAAAGTGGTAGCTGGTGGCCGGGGCTCAGGAGATCGATTGGATCAATTGTGTGCTCCAACCAATGTCTTGATCGATAGAGAGACTAGTAGTCTCATTATCAGTGATGAAGGAAATCGACGTGTCCTACGTTGGTCTCGTCGTAGTGGTACAACTCACGGAGAAATTCTTCTCAAAGATATCCGTTGTTCAACATTGGCCATAGATGATCAAAGATATCTCTACATCGCTGACCCCGACAAAAATGAAGTAAGACGATATCGAATAGGAGACAAAAATGGAATTGTCGTGGCGGGTGGCTATGTCAAAGGTTTTGGTATTCATCAATTGGGTCATGTGGCTTACATCTTTGTCGATCAAAACCAGGCTGTCTACTTGTCGGATGACGAAAATCATTGTGTAATTAAATGGAATAAAGATGCAACAGAAGGCATCGTCGTTGCTGGCCGTCAAGACAAAGAAGATCCTTCGGCACAATTGTCGAGTCCTCAAGGACTGTTTGTCGATACATTGGGTACCATCTATGTAGTAGATATGGGCAATGCTCGAGTGATGCGTTGGTCTAAAGGAGCCAAACAAGGTACTGTCGTTGCGGGTGGCTATGGTGAAGGAGAAGAAGCACATCAGTTGCGTGAGCCAACGAGTTTGTCTTTCGATCGATATGGCAATCTCTATGTCGTTGATAAGAAGAATTTTCGGGTGCAACGATTTTCTATCGAATAGACTCATTAAGAGGACTATTTCTTTTTCTTTTGAAAACAAATAAATCGCGATAAATAAAAAAAACATTTGGTTATTCTAAACAGAATAATTTTTATTGCTATTTTATTCCCATGCGGGACTAGAAATATAGTTTCATTTTCTTCATACAAAATAATTGCTTAAGGAAGGTTTGAGAATTGGCTGGCATATAAAATATTGTAGGGTAGGCTCCAATTTTATAAGGAAACCAAAGGTTCTGTACTTTCTGACTTCTTTGAATTACATTCGTACTTCGGATTTCTATCATTTTATTATTGGATTTTCTGTTCGTTTTCAGAGGTAACCATGGTACTCACAGAACCTTCGTTGTTTCATGAAGAAAAAGTAATATTATAATGTTTTGTGTCAAAAGTTGACTCATATAATGAGTATCGAAGCAAGTGAGAGGGTGTGGGTGTTGATCTTAGTCTTCTTATGATTCTCCGACAGTCATAACCACACTCTATTTAGGTAGACATGAGCGTGAAACAGTAGACAATGTAGAAGACTCGGTGAAAAGGGTAGCATGGAAAGGTGTTGTGGCAAAACAATGTGTTATTCGTAATGCAAATGATTTTGTACAATGCGATAGCGATGGGATAAAATTTAATCTGTTTCATATACATTAAAAAATTCAATCGGTTAAAGATTATCACTTTATATTGTGGACATTACCATTTGCCAAATTGACAGATAAAAAAAAATATTTTATCCGTTTCTCCATATCCTTCACGGGATTGTTGAGAGAAAGATGATGATATCTCAAAACGAAACTTGGAACAACGAAAACTTCATATTCCACTAGTCAAGTATTGTATTCTTTTGTTATTAACTGTTTAAAGAACCATTGATTAAGTAAAACAAAAGTAGAATAATACTAATTTGTGTATATATATATAAAACAAAACACAGTTCCTCAAAATATAGTTTTTTTTGTTACTTTTCTAGTGATCCTCTCCTGAGGGAAGGTCAATACTAGTTTCATTCAAACCCTGCTTCATAATCTCTATTGTGGAATACTTCTGAAGAATTTTCTAAGCGCGTTTTTTATTAGTAAAAAATATTATATATAAATCCAAAAAAAACACTGTGAGTGAAAAAGAATACGATATGAAAGAATATCTCATTTTTTTAGAGAAGTGTTTCCTCTTTTCTCTCCGATTCTCTTCACGATGTCCTAGTTTTTCTTGAAAAGAACTTCGCGTAGAAAGCATCCCTCGAAGAATGGAAGTCTCGGGTTTCGGGTGAATGAGTGAAGAATTATAGATAACAATTCATTCTATTCTTACTGTGTTACGTCGCTAACTCTAGTTTTTTATCAATAACTTCTCTTAACAAAGGCCTACAGGATTGATTTTTTCAGAGTATTTAGAGTTACTTAGCATAAATATTAAATATATAAATCAGCTTTAGAAAAGCTCCATATATAGAGATATATGTGTTTTAATATTGCGAAGTCATGTCGCTAGCGAATGGACTAACCTATATTTCCACAAAATTTCATCACTAGAAACACTATTATTGAATAATTGTGAAATTTTCAGTACATGAGTACTGCATTGATTATCCTCATTTTTTACCTGAGAGCGTCTCTCTTCTAGCTTAAATTTCTCAACGGGGAAATGGTTTTAGAAGCTGTAATCTTTAACGTTTTCACATCTCACTTGGAGCTACATGGGAACAAAATTTCATTGAAATCCGTGATATCGATTGAATATGTCGTCCATATTTGCATCGCCTCCTTCATGCAAGAGTTCTTACCCATGTTATGTCGATTTCTCTACGAAATGGTCTATTGTATTAAACATAGGCATGTTTTATCGTTTTTGTAAGAGCGGATACAATTGGTTGAATTAAGCTAGGTAGCATTTTTTACTTTTCACACAACATTTTAGCGCTTCAATCAAGATTGCTTTGTTTTAGTCCTCTTTCACTTGATTTCTTGTGAGAATTCGATGCAAAAAATCTAGTACAGAGCATTGCAATCGGATGCATTTCGCATTTCGATAATCATCTGATACTGTCACATCGAACGGAACACGGTTTTTTTACTATTTCGTCGATCTTTATTGTTTAGTCGTCTAAAATGCCACGGTGAATTGAATATCGAAAAACACTTTGTGCTTTGGAGAGATTAAAGTCAAATGTTGCCGGACGGATTATATTTTTAAAAGACAAGATACCAAGATAGAAAAAAAAATGGCTCGTTTTTGCAAGAAGATAGTAGTAAATTGAAAAAATAATATCTATATGATGAAGTATTTGATCGTTGTTGGTGATAGTATGCATTACCGCACGTCAGTAACACTATATAGTATTAATTAAATAACATGAATTTATTTGTTTTAAGCTTATGCATTGTTGCTAAAAGTTAATGATTCAGGATCCGAATGGGATTCTTTGAAAATTACATGGGGTCCGAATCCGTTCGATCCGGAATATTTTGTTAAACAACCACGAACTATTACCGAAGCTAAAGAGAATAATTACATACAGATTGCAGGTCAATGTGAAGGTGATTAGTAAAATTGGGATCTTTTATTTTTCTTTGTATCAGTATTTAATCATAGGCACATTTCTTGGACAGCGTTTTATGAAAGTTAATGATTATGGTGTAATTTTAATCTACGATAAACAAGGTACTATTACCGGTGTGCAAATGGGAGTAAGTTTTTGTGTCTTTTTTTTTCTTCACTATTCTCTATGAAATGTAATCTACAATAAAAAAAAAAGATTCCTGCATCAATGATTACTGATACATATTACAAGTATTCAACCCAGAAAATGTTTACTCGAGATACAATTGCCGGCATTGATATTTACGTTCTCACTGCATATTTTGTCGATCCACGCACCATTTGTCAATCAGGTCGGGATGTATCTCATCTCAAACATGAAGGTACAGGAACTGGACTATGGCTACAAAATGGCAGCAATCCAATTCGTGATTCAATTGAAATGCCATTATATGAAAATATGGTGAACAATACAAAATGGATCAAAGGTACATGTTTGCCAACGATGGGTATGTTTGATAATAGAAAAAGTAAACTTATGATACATATTCGATATTGATATTAGGTGTTCATTATTGGTTTGATAATCGACTAGACTGAAAATTGTGATGAATTTTTTCCAGCTTTTCTCTTGTATAACAAAGACAAACTGACAGGTTTCGGTTGGATTGTTATTGGCAAATTTGAATATACCAAACGAACTGAATTTCCACCAATCACAGCTATCACCGTGAGTTATATTCGAAATTTTCATCGCACGTTTAATTCTCATCATATTCGCGTTTTCATTTTCTATTAGTCATCCCAGGAACCATTTCCGACATGTATGACAAAACGATATGAAGAAGCGGGCGGTTTTACAACCATGCATCATTTCTTTAATACAGAGACATGGAATATTCTCTGCTAACATGTATGAATGTATTCCAATCGAGTGAAAAAAAATAAAAATTATGATGATGCGTTGGTTTTTCTTGACGCTTGTTCTTCATTATGTCAAGTTTATTCTTTTTTTCAAATTTTAATAAAAAAACATATTAAGCAGTAGGACACGCACGAGGATTTGTTTCATTTTCATCTACTATGTGCATGTCGATAATAGAATCGTGCCCGAAAAAGTACTTTTCATGTAAATACACGCATTATTTTAAATGAAATGCGTCTATGCTTGGAATAATCAGTTATTCTGCATGATCCGAGTATCATTCACATATTTACATAGATTATTTGCCTAGATATTTTACACTTGTTTTGAAAACATAAATGTTGATTGACACTTTCAAAATATTGACTTTTATCGGTATGTTTAATAGCATTGAAACACTTTCATATCAGCTCTGAGCACACAAACTGACTGAACAATTTTGAAGATTTAAGTCAAACAAGAAAAACGGATTAAAAATTATTTGATAAAATATATTTGTAAATACTGTTTTTCATTAATGCTTAATCGATATAGATTTTCTCGATTTTTCAAACCTTTTGTAAACTACTAAACCATTATTGGTTTCCTAGTACTGAGAATAAGTTGTTAAACAAAAATAATTTAAATTATTTTTTCTTTCTTTCTCATCTAGGTGCTTCACCAAATCTACAAAATAAACAAACCGGCTGCTTTTATTGCCAGATTTGACTTGTATCAATTTAGCGTTCTCTCTCTGTATCTATACTCTATCAATGTCTACCACAAAACAATCATTGCCTGTCAATTTTCCTGTCCCCTTATGGTACTTACTGAGATTTTATTGATCCGTATTCCAAACATCATACTCTATATTCTAACTGTCATTAGCACAAGTCTGTTTGCTTGTATTTTCATCATAGCTAAATTCTCTCTTTGTTTGCCTCTGATCGATCAAATATCTGAGAGTACTTTGATAGCTCTTGCTTGGATGACAATGTACTATTGAAAACTTGGAATCATCTTCTAACCTCAGAAAAACAAGCAGTTCATTTGGTTGAAATACAGTCAAGATATTCGAGTTTTTCTTTGTTTAGTTCGTTTCTAGGTACCGTACATATTTTCAGAATGACTGATCTGTTTGGACTGAAACTTTCGGTTTATCTTTAACTCAGATGTATATATCTACTATAAAAATATCACCCACTTGGTGAAATCGATGGCGTAAAGCTTCTGCTGAAACTGATCATAGCTTACGCGAAGATGATTAACCGAAATTAACAGATGTGTTTCGAGCGATTTATACGGCATGAATCTTTCAGCTTTTCGAGTTTAATTTCGAAGATTTAATTGTATTTTAGGATATTTTGTCATATTTTAAGTATTGTATGTATGTCAGATTATTTTGATATACTTTTAACGTACTCTAATACATTTTGAACTACCTAGAAGTAATTCGAACTACTTTCATACTTTAATGTACTATAAGTACGAAAGTACGCCTTGGATCTATAAATATAATATCTTACATGTAATGTGACACGCAGAGAAAAAGAAAAAAAAGGTTATCTTTTTTTCTGCGTAGACATATAGTTATCTGAATGTTCGTAGGTGACTAGTATAAGCATATCGTCTTTCTCTTAACTCAATATTACCTGAGTGTGTGCTTATAACAATAGAAAAACATGTTTATTACGATTATATTATTAGCAGTTTTGATTAACATTTTCTTTTATTACGTTTGGACTTTAAAATCATGTTACGAATATTTTGTCCGACGAAATATTCCTGGTCCACGACCTAAGTTTTTCTTTGGTCATTATTTGAGTATGTGGAGTACGCCTTCCTTTGATAGTCAAATTCAAAAATGGACTCAACAATATGGTCCTATTTATGGAATTTTCGAAGGAACGTGTCCAACATATGTCGTATCAGATGTTAATTTCTTACAAGAAGTATTTATCAAACAATTTTCAATGTTTCATTCACGTCATAATAACATTTTGGTTCGGATGCTTAAAAGTAATGCAGCTAGTTTATTTTCTTCACATGCTAATCAATGGCGACGTCAACGACATATTATTAATCCAACATTTACAACAGCTAAATTGAAAATGATGACACCACTTATGAATAAATGTATTCGATCAATAATGAAAAAAATAGATGAAAATAATGATAATGAATTTAATATATTTGTTTTATATAAACGATTGACTATGGATGTTATTTGTAAGTAAACAATTATCATGTACACTATCATCTATTTTGGGTATTATTCTTTTGTTTTAAATGAGACGTGCATCCCACGAAAGGAGAAGCAGCAGATCAATGGTACTTGAAATCTTACAAAGTCTTTTGAAAATTTGAAGCATTGTCGTTCATTATTTTTTTTTTCTTGTTTAGGAGAGAATCCAATTGAATCCTGTAGGAAGAGCTTCATATATTATGATAAAATTGTGTAATGCAGGCATTTTCCTAGATTGAAGAGATAAATTCTCGATTTCATATTACGAAGAATTAAAATGATGTAATCGACTAAAATCACGATTTTTATTAAAGATTTTCTTACAAATTAGTTATAAATAAGATTTCCTATGAATAAATATTCATTATAATACTATAATTCGTCTCGTAAGTAATAGGTAGAGGAATAAAAAAGTTGTATTGTTTCCATTTAACAATGTAAATCTATATAGCATTGGATCACACGATTCTCATCGTTTATATAAAAGGTCACAAAAGACATTGTGTTTTCAATACTCTAGTTGCCATTATCAAAAAAAAGTATGAATTAATTGTAGGGCATTGTGCATTTGGTATTGATACTGATCTACAAAATGATATTGATAATATGTATATGAAAAAATCACTAGCCTGTTTTGCTCATGATCCAGAAAAAATGTTCATTGTGAGATTATGTAAATTAATGCCATTTCTTATTCCATTATCAATTAAAATTATGAATAGTTCTGTTGTAATCATAAACTTTCTACGTATATTAATGCCATCAATGATGCGTAATGTTGAAGGTCCTCCTCAATTATGGATTTTTAAACAAATTGAAAATGTTGTCAAACAAAGACAAACATCTCAAAATAAAAGAATAGATTTACTTCAATTAATGTTAGATGCATCTACACAAGAAGAAATTAAAGTTAATTATTAGATTTATTCTATTATTAAATATAAATAAATTTCTTTTAGGATGATGAAAATAATGAATTAATGTCAAAAAATCTGCATTATAAAGAAATATTAATGAATGCAGTATTATTTTTAAATGCTGGTTTTGAAACAACATCACTTAATCTTGCTTATTCAACATATCAATTAGCTATACATCCAAATATTCAAACTAAACTACAAACAGAAATTGATGAACATTGGAAAGACGAAGAAGAAATTGATTATGATATAATTAATGATATGAAATATTTGGATATGTTTATACGAGAAGTTCTTCGAATACATGCTGTTACACATAGAGTTTTTAGTCGAGAATGTTCTCAATCAACAATTATTTCTGGACATTACATTGAAAAAGGTAAAACATAGAAAACAGAAAACTCAATGTACTGACTTTTGCTGATTGTCGAAAGTTCACTGCAAAAGTCAATAGGACAAAATTGATATTATTCTTAAACATAAACTTGAATTAGTTCGTTCAAAGTTAAACCTATTTATTTTATTTTGAAGTTTTTTTTTTATGTAAAATATATTTATAATAGAATTTTTGCTTGAATAGGTAGTGTTATTCAAGCGGATACATATTCAATTCATCACAATATTGATTTATGGGGACCTGAAGATCCAAAAGAATTTGTTCCTGAACGTCATATGATAAAACGACATCCACTAGCTTATATGCCATTTGGTGTTGGACCAAGAAATTGTGTTGGAATGAAATTTGCATTAATGGAATTAAAAATTGCTTTAGCAAATATATTACATAGATATACAATTTTACCTGGTGAGAAACTTGAACAAGGAATGAAAAGACAAGAAACTACAACTTTATCACCAGAAGCTATTTACATACGAATTGAAAAACGATCAAACTAATCTAATATTTCGTTTTTTTTTCTTTTTATAAATATGTGATATTATAATATCTATCGTATATTTCTTTTTTTGTATACATAACTACATATTAATAAAAAACAGTGCATATTTTTTTTTTCGTTGACTTATTTATTAAATTTTTTTTATAATTGATTTTCTTATGATTTAAATAAAAAAATTTTTTTGCTGATTTCTAAAAATCGAATACTACTACAAAATTTGTTAATATAGAAAAATAATGATAATTAAATGACATGTTCTTATTAGTTTTGCTAGTTATGTGGAGAAAACAATTTTGTCTTATCGAAGATATGATTAAGAACTAGAATCATAGTAATGATTCATCCAATTGATAATAAAGTATTTTTACTATGAAATCTAACATAACATTTTCAAGATGTGTTTTTTTTCTTCATGTTCTAATAAATTCGAAATAATATACAAAGAATGTTTAATAGACTTAATTATGAATTTATTCAAAGAAAATAAGAATTGATTATTTCATTGATTTATTTTATTAAAGTAATTAAATATTAAAAGCTTATTATCAATAAATTGTCATTTATCATTTTTTATTTAAATCAATTGAAGTAAAGAATTACATAATAATAATCAAATTTTATCAAGATAACCTAAAATTAATTGAAAATAAAATAAATAAAAAGATAAAAGCAATTTTCAATTAGAAAAATCAAAAATAAATTATCTAAGAAATGAATCTAGCAAAAGTTTTATGTAAGATTTCAATATATATTTCTTCGATACATTGTTTATATGTCATCCCATTTGTATTTACTTAAGACTATTCAAGAGGAATGACGGAGATACTTTATTTACCTATAGAAAACTTAAAACAAAAAATTTCTCTTTATATGCAATAATAGTAAAAACAATGCTGTATTTTTCTATGATGCTTGATCATTCTTCAACTAATATCATAATAATAAAATTTTGATACAAGCTGTTTTTCTATGACATGTGATGGTTATACTAATGTCTATTTAAAAACAAAAAGAAGATGACGACGCATTGAATCCCATATTATAAGCTTTTTGGACCTGCTTTTTGTATCTAAAGGTTTCAATCGACCTCTTTGAAAATAAACCTAACCTGTGAGGTCTTTACAGTAAATATTCAATCGTTAGATATGCATGCAAGCTGCACAAGCTTCACATGTTTAGAATTAATTATTTAGGAGTCATAGGTTTTCTAGTTGAGAGTCTAAGTGGTTATTCTAACAATTTCTCTGAACAATGTTTGTTGCCTTTCTCAAGAATGAGAGTTATTCGAAGGATCAAGTGTTAATACAACATTAGTATAATAATAATAGTCAATTTATTGAGCAAACACGTCAAATATCTCCTAATCAAGTTTTTGCATCAAGTGTTGGACAACAATTACTTCATCATCAATAACAATATGTTACTTCAAATCAAAAAATGTAGCAAGTCATGTACCAACAACAAGCTCCAATGCTTTCTCATTACATACCATCAACTAAGGTTTTCTCTCCTTCAATGTTGATGAGTCGACCGATGGTGACATCTATTCCTTCACTAACTATTATGAGTGATCAGACGGTGTAAGTCTGTAATAGACAAACTGACGATGTAATTAGATCTTGTGATAAAAGTATCAATCAACAACTTCCTCAACGTCAAGGAACTCGATGTTATAAATCAAAGAAGTCAAAGATTGCTATTTATCGTCATAAACCAGAAGAAATGGATGATTGTATTCTAGTTATCGTTGATAATATGGATTCTTCTTTTGTTTCTTAACTAATGATTCAAACTAATTTACTCATCGATATACCGACTGAGAAGAGTTCGTTCAAGGTATGAAAGAACAATATCCGAAAGTAGTTGATGTGGTTCGCCTCAAGAATCGTTCTCAGCATCTCGTTCGTACCGTAGAGGTGCAATTCGCTTGTGCTAAAGCTCATAATAACCTGTTACGAAAAAAACACATGTCGATCGGTTACATAAAATATCGGGTGGTGTAATATTTCACTCTAGTGCAAGTACTGATTTGTGAAAACTACTGTGAAATTATTCATTTTCAATAAAATTGTCCGCATAGAGATAAAAATACCTGTAAAATCTATGAGAAAAGCGGCACCGATATTAAAAATCTTTGACTTTTAAGAACTCGAATGTCTTTTTCACCAGTAACAATGTGTATAGGTGCACGTATTCTATCTAACTGATAGATTGGTGTTTTTTATTTTGATAAGTATGTGATACGTTTCATGAAAATTCTTCAAACAAGTAGCGGATCAGTACGGATATATCTATCATACCTCATATTGAAATATGAACAGCAACGGCAGCACCAAACAGAGCAACATTAAAACATTTAGTCTGTGTAATCAAACAATTTGTTAAAATACCACCGTAACTATAACCATCGACTGTAAATCAATGTGAATCAATAAATCCATCTTTAATCAATAGGTTAATTTCATGACGAATATCTTTTTCTGGTCGAGATAAAGGTCTACAACGGATTTCATTGAGAAATTGATTCTCGATAGTTAAATTGTAACACTAACCAACTTTCTAAAGCTGCCAATAAAGCCCAATCATACAAAACTAGATCAAGTGCATTTAGACTAGGCGAATATGAATTACAATGAATAAGAACTATTCCAATTGATTAATATTGTTAATGAAATAAACTTCCATTGTTTTTTGCGAATGATCAATAAACAAATGCAATCAATCCATTATGATGAATTAAGTCTTTTGTTGGTAATCGTTGTGTATAAATTTGTACTTCTATTTCCAATTGTCTAAGTATATAAACACCAGAATAAGGCTTGATTGTGTATCTACTGATATTACTAAGAAATTTTTCTCCTGAATGTGGTATTTGTCCATTTATTAAGTTTAATTAATAAAGATGAAACTGTAAATCGTTAAATTTTCCTTTGTACGAACTAAGATTGAATGTTCGGAATAGTATATACTGACCGTCAATTGATAACTGTAATTCTATTTCAATAGCTTCATTATTTGTCAGTTTTGAAAGTTTAGATGTATTTCGAAGATCAATCAAATATATTTCAAAATCATTTATATTTTCCACAACCATAGATACGGACAAGAAGATGAGTTATTCTTAAAATACGACATATAATAATTGATCAATGATAGAGAATACATTTCAAATAGCATTAAATTTTGTCGATATTGAATAACATCTTTTCATTCATCTTTATAAAAACCAATTTCTTCATTTATTGGCAACAAATTAGTGCTAGCTATATATAGAGATGCATCCTTGTTAGACCATGTAGGAACTAAAAAAATATGTTTTTCAATTTGAATTGGTAATAGTTCATCGAGTATGAGAAAATATAAATATATATATTGTTTTGATTGATGGCTATTTCGAAAACCGTCGATTTTTAGTTACTGATGAATGGTTTTTGGTAGTAATGTGATATAGTTATCACTTAGTGACTGTTGTAGTTTGATTCATTTATGAAGATTTGTTGTAATTAATTTTTTTGTTTGGTTTTGTATATCATAGAGCCACAAACTATTCTCATAAGAACTAGTATTTCATGATCGGCATATTATTTAAATGAACAAATGTTGACCAGTTGAAGAAAATCTCAATAATGGAAACTTAGTGTATTAAAAAAAAAACTCATCGAAGGCTGATTTTAATTTAGTTTCGGTGGAGAAGTCTGAAAATAATGCTTCAATCAAGAGTAATTTCAATTGCATTAACATCACTACAATGATCCAAACCGAAAAAAAACTTCGAGCAATATTTGTACATAATGTTAACAAAGGTAAATGTCAATAGTAGAGCACATTTTCAATGAAAACAGGAAAAGATCTATCATTAAAAAAAAATCTTATTTCAGTTATTCTTTACTGAAGACAAAAAAATAATAATAATCGCTTTGTATTCATATCCTCATGTTTATCTGCTTAGTTGATTTTTCTTGTCGAAAGGAAAAGTATTGAATCATCTATTCTTATTTCTTCTTGCACTTTGATACGTTAAAACCACTGATGCACAAATGGGATACTCTATATGGATATCGTAAATGAAATCTGGTTGACTGAATAAAGTTACAAACAAATCTTATTGATGAAGATATTATGATAGGAAAAATCTAACGAGTAGTACCATTTGACGAATATATTCTCAGTATGTATGATATATATTCATCAAGTGAAAATATAGTGAAGAAACATAATGCCGCTAATGGTCGGGAGTATATATATCATCTTATTCATCAAAAACCGTCATTTAATCGAAATCGTGAGAGATAAAGCTGAAGAGTTTAGTTCTCAACATAGTGATCGAATTAGTCATTCCGCATCAACATCGATAACATAACTGAAAATATATAGATTTATAATTCCAAAAAGAATGTAGTTTATTCGTCGTATATGTATTGTACTAAGGGCGAGAAAAATATCAATAATTATAGGAAATAAAAATAATACTAAAATGTTCTTTTTATGACAAAGTAAACTTTTGATCGACATTTTTTATGATATGTTTATGTCGACAAATAGGCACGTTCTTAATGTGGATTGATACTCTTCTCATTCTAACCTAGACAGACGCAATAGAGATAGGGCGTGGATGTGAGTGTCGATGGGCGTAAGAAATCTATGCCAATGTTCGCTGTGTTTGTAGGTGCGCCTGTCACTGTGAGTGCTAAAGAAGAAAATACTAAGAATGACATCCAAACGCCCCATCCCGACTCGAAAAAGGTTCGTTTTTGTCAAAAAGTCAAAGCTGTGATAGACGCACACTAGAACAACCTGAAATCTGACCTGTTGCAAGCAATATGATTAGTTAATTAACAGTCCCTTTTTTTATCAAGATGTTTCATGATTTCTGGTATCTTTGCTCTAAACAACACGTTTCTTTAAAAAAAAATTGAAATGCTCTGATGAAAATAAGTATCTTGAGGATGTAGCCACTGGTATATGAGTTTGCTTGGCTTTGATTCGGTGACTCCGCATTCAATGAATAGAAAGATCGAACTAGTCACACCTACACCACTTTATGAATCACTATCAAACGATGTGTATTAAAATCGAATATAAGTGTTGATTCTTTAATAAATGATGTGCTTCATATTCAGGTACGATTATGGACAGTCAAATTGTACTGAATATGAACAATTTGAATCTCTTTTTTGTTGATTGATACATAAACCTTGGAATAAATGTTGTACACATGCTACTAAATGTCATATGTGAATCGAAATTTTTTAAGCATCAGACATTGTGTGCGAAAAAACAAACAATATATGATTTGAAGAATAAAAAAGTGAATCATTAAATGTATTCTGTGAAACAGCATCAAACTATGCATCATTGAGTCACTACCGCGTTACTTGCTTCTTATCGCACCCTTAATGTAAATATGACGACTATTTCAAAGTAATGGTGAAATTGCGCATGACTGTTTTTACCCCATCTTCGTTGTGCATTGTTTGCTTATGACGCTTCCAAACGCTTATATAAAATGTAGTGTTTCATACGTTTGCTTCACAAATTCATAAAAACAAGCTGCCAAAATGGCCAGCAGTATAACGTCGTCGAACGGCAATCAGAATGTGCCACAGCAGGATAAACAGGATGCCACGATTCAAGCACAGACCAACATTGAACAGAAGACGGCAGAGGCGATTGCAGCTCAAAAAAAACCTCCACCGATTGCTAAAAAACAACACCAGCCAAACTCTCCTCTTTTTGGAAAGCCAAAGAAAGATGATGATTCAGACAACTCGCCTTTTAACTTTGGATCTGATCGTTCACCAAATAGATGCCTGATGTTTTTTCCTACATCAGGCCGTATGGGCTTCGATACAATCAAAGCGTCGAATGAATTGCCCCCCATCGAGACCATACGCGAGATGATTGCTTATGAAACAAGTATTCGATTATCCGAGTCGATTCAAGAGCTCATGGACTTTTATCACAAAGATGAGGCTGCACTAAGGTAAGCTTTACTTTTGTACTTATGCCCATGCTCTAAACTAATCTTTCTTATGAAATTGAAGACGCGTGCTCGATCTTATTCAACAACATGTTGTAGAACATTTTGGATATCATGATGTCAATGCATTGCGTACCGCTTTGCATCGCTTTCCAGACGATCCCGCAGTGAAATCAGCTTATTATGGTAAGTTACAGAAAAAAAGAGAAGTAAAAAAGAAATTCTGTCAGTCTGAAATTAGCATGCTTTGCATAGATACATTTTTCGAGCAAAAATCAATGGTTTTTCGTCGCTATTCATGAAGTCAATAGAGATGTCATATCAAATGAACATCTCAATCTTGAATAGAGAAATTTTTACATGCTACAGCTAAATACTTTTCTCCTTCACTTCTAGTTAAGCACAACAAAGTCACACAAGGTCTAATCAATCAAGGACAATGTGCACGTGACGTCGATTTGTATACCACCGAAGGTCAGCCTACGAATCTATTCTCACAAATCACAGCTTACCAACCATTAATTATTTTGGCCGGCTCAGCAAGCTGACCTCCATTTCGGGCGTCTGCCGAGCGAATTAAGTAGATATTTTTGATATGATCTAACTGTATACTTATTATTATTCACCTGATTTAGCGCGCTATTTCGCTCGCATGCGTCCGATGACCTGCGCTTCTTGGTGATTTATATTGCCGAAGCGCATGCACGTGATCAATGGCCAATGGGCAAAATCATATCATGTGTCAATCAACCAACTACACTCGAAGAACGCCTTGAGAACGCTAAGCAATGTCACAAGGATTGTAAATTTGAAATGCCCATGCTTGTAGATAGTATGGATAACACTTTCCATCTTACCTATGGATCATGGCCATTTCGTTTCTATGTTATTCACAATGGAATACTTGTCTTGAAAGCGGAACCAGACAAGGATACCTTCAGCTATCACATCAATGAACTCAATCAATGGATTGACAATTTTTGTCAATCCCGTCATCCCGTTGTCTAGATGTTCGTTCATTCGATTCTCATTCATCGTCTGCTTTCTTTTCCCTCGTATCCTCTTTGTCTCTATTTATTCATCAATTCGGTGGCCCTCAACTATGAAACTCAACATGAATTTATGATAACTGTGTGATAAAATCACATGAGTGAATGTTCACAGTTTGATTTCAATATGTTGTCTTTTCCGAGGAAACTTGCGCGTAAATCTATCGAACTGATGAATCGAGTAGACACAAAGAAGAATCATTCGTATGTTTGTGTATCGTGTTGAACTCTTTTTCAATAAAAGCATATTGATTCGAAAACAAATAAGAGAATAAAAAAAAACAGGTTTCTTGAAAATAAATTGATGAGTTCGACATTGGTGATATTGTTCTTGGAGAATGCCACTTGGAAATCATTTACCTATCGTATCAGGCAAGCATAAGTCAAGATCATTTTGAAATTTACTCCAAATAGATATGTAATTCTATGGATTTCTTACAGTTTCTTTCTGCTCATCTAATGATTATCCGATCAACCATCAAATCTAAAATAGTTCATGGTGACTAGTTCCTGTGCAGAGTCATAGTGTTTACAAGTTGTCAGAGATTGGCTATACATTTACTGAAATTGTTTCACTATCATAAACGACTTTCAATTGTTGATTTCTCGTCACCATATTACTTTTGCATCGAGTTCATTACTGAGCATCAAGCGTTTTTAAGCAGCAACTAACATATTTGCCACATTTGGTATCATGTTAACTACTAATAATTATCATTCAACGATGAATATTTCTCTCATTTACACAAACGATAAATCCTACACAATTCATTCAAATAATTGATCATTCTATTGGTGAGATAGAAATCAACAAGCACAAAGGTCTGTTCGAGCTGGATGTAGGTGTGGAGAAACATATCACCCATATCTACATATACGCCGCACAGCGCTCACATTGCACATCTCACACTGATGCTCACACCCACACTCATACTTCAGGTTGTATACAAAATTTTCTTTAGATAGGCAAAAATAATAAAAAAGTGCCCATCAATTGAGCTGAGATTTTGATGGAATTCTTCATGTTAAAAATATACCGAATGAAAAAGAAAAACAAGTTGAAATTCGAGTTTGGAAATTTTCTAATAAGAATGATTTTATTCAATAAAGATGTGTGCTTTGTCTAAATAACAATGCATGTTGTGAAAATATTATTTTTTGTCAAATGAAATTTGAAATATATTCAACTATTAAAAACTATTTCACAAAGTCTGTGAAGTTACTACAAAGATGTTTAGGTTTTGAGGGTTACTAATTAAACTCAAACGATTCACGTGTTATGAAATAAATAAATTTCATTGTGCATTATCGATTTATATACAACATGGATGTCTTTGTTTTTATTTCGAAGTATGTTTCTATAGAGAGCCTTACATAGTCAGCGTTAGACTTTTGGATATGTATATTTAACAGACATTTTGCATCATATGATTGGGAAATTTTTAGAAGATATTTAAGAAACGATAGAAAAAAAAACATGTACTGCGTACATTCTCTCTAAACTCATTTTCAGTTTTTTTCATCAACCACTCAATAAAATTGCAACGGTGAGTGTAAAGATGCTGGTAGTCTGCTTCTTTTAACCCTCACTCACAATCCATATCACACCTCACCGTCTAAATCAACTGAAATAGTCGAACTTTTCATGAGCTGTGACATCATGAACATTTTTAATAATGCATTCTTATTCATCTCGGAGACAGTTTTGAAATAGAAACATCTTATTTTGGTCACTAATTTAGAGATATTTATCGTTAATCGATAGGTTTCTGAGTAAATGAAACAACAATTTGAAGTAATGATAAAACGATTCCTTTAGATCATTACATCATAACACAGCGCTAAAATTGTCTTCTAATTAGTGACAGAATGATCATACTAATTGATTGAAGATTCTTACAAAATTTGTGGGTTTCATACTGCTATTACTCGTGAGTTCTTACATTTTGCACACTCGTATCGACAATCGATAGTGAGCTTAAATTTTTTCAAAGACTTCAACAGTTCGGGATCATATTAGATCGTGTGCGCAAATAAGTAATGCTTTTTAGGGCAAGCTGATCTTTAAACAAAGCATGGATAAAAATGCAGGAAATCTTCAGTTATATTCGTCTTCTGAACACTAGTTTCTGAATCTTGAGAACAATAGAAACATATAATTTTTCTGCTTTGCTTTCAATAAACTCAAATGTTGACAGAATGAATACAACGATAAGGAACGAAAAACGCTGCTTCTAATTTTTTTTTTAATCGTCGAGAGAAACAAATAAAAATAAGAAAGAAAGACTCACACATTACATTCTATAGATAAAGATAACGAAACTGATGCGCCTTCATCATAAACGAATAATATCATTACCATGTGATTCATGCGATGTTGTTTCGTCATTACGATGTATATTACGAAAGAACAATAATAGATATAAATGGAAAGAAAAAAAAAGCGACGAGTGCACTTAAGATAGTAGTTACAGATGTCGATTCAATTAGATATAATAGGTCTTCTTCAAGCCATAGCTCGTACTTTGAATGCATTCAATCTTGAAGCCGGTTCAGCACTCATCGAACGAGCTTTGGTGAATATTAATGATGATCCTAACAATACTCAATTACTCGCTAATCTAAAACAGGAACTTGGGCAATTGCCACCACTAACAAATCTCAATATTCATGGCGAAATGCTTTGGTTTATTGAAAAAGTAATTGAATATGTACAAGCTGCTAATGTGATCAACAAAAAACTTGTAACACGAACTGTCGAAAAGCTTTATCGTGGTTTAGAACCATATGCTCGAAATGACACACAACGAACGGCCTTGATCGAAATGCAAACTGCCAAAGATGATGCACTAGGTATCGAACTACGCCATCGAATAGGCAACAAACAAAGCAACCAACAGATTGACGACGAGAAAGAGGAAAATGACGAAGATTTACATATGACACGTGAGCTAAAATCAGACGGCTGTGGACAGCAAGAAGCAGAAAAGAAAGACAACAAGCAATACGCAGCTGAAAATTTTTTCAAGCTAAATATGTCTGTGTATGAGTTGCGCAATACCACAAAATGATATGAATAAAAACGATAAAAAAAAAATTTTGAATTTCTATTTTTTTTTTCAGACCAAAAAAAAGTGCTCTTGCAACTGCTAAGTTTATGAATGAACATTCTCTGTTTCAACACAGAAATTACCTCAGATTATTGGTATTTACAAGTCAAAAAATGTCATAGTATTTTTATGACTTGTTTCATACTTGAAAAAATAGCATAAGAGGAAATAGGAATAATGTAATTTTTATTTCGAGCAATCTTGTTATGAACAGATATACACTGGTTCTAACTTTGTAATCATTTTCGACTGATACAAAAACTTCAATAGATTAATTATTACTCTGAGCATTGTCGAAATATGCAACAACATATTCAAAACAACAGAAGAAAACCAATCGATCAAAATCATTGTACGATATTCTAGCTTGAGTATAGTGACAAAAAAAAGTTTCTTATTTACTGAACTAACATAAAATTTTTCACCTGTTGTCTCTATCTTCTGGTAAGTCTCATGAATCTTGTTTTGATATAGATATTTGCCATTAATATTCGGACTTCATCGAAACTGGTTTAACTTCGAATCATAATAACAAATAAGATCGCTGATCAAGTGGGTCCTTCCACTTGGACCATAGTATTTTATACTTAATTGTATTGTAGAAATGTGGCTGTGGGATGGGTGCGGATAAGATTCACATCATGCACCCATCCAAAAGAAATGTCTTAATGACCTTAAAGTTTGTGCAAAGTCTTACGTAAGTCTGATGACATAGTCATATAGTTTCATCATTGCGTATTTCTATTCGCTTCTTGAGTATTGACGATTTTTTTGTCTTTCTCTTCGTGTTTTTTTTTTCAAAATACGTCACTTGAATATATTTCAATGAAATTTTCAAATATTTGCAATATAAGTCCCAACAGAACGATTGTTGACGCCGTCAATAATCAAATGTGTATTTGATTGAAGAAAATCATCGACTGGTTTCAGAAATTCGTAATCAGCGGCGATTTTATGACGAACAGAGCCGCTAGAACGTAAACAACAATAAAGAGGACCACAGATAATACATAAACACGAGATACAACAGCAGCAACGAACTAGATAATTATTAGAAAATCGACTTAAACGTGACGATGAACGAGCAGCTATTTCACAGTTTTCATTTTTGTATGTCTACAAACAAAATATAGATTCGATCGATCATTATTTCAAACATCGTTTTCTTAAAATATCGTGATTATTTTCATAACCTGTTGCACAAATTAGTGCCGTCAATTGATCTTGTAATTGTACCCGATTCCAACCATGTAATTGTTGGCGTCTTGTTTCGTTTCACAAATAAGTTATTGCCGAATAATATTTCCACCAACTAGTTAATTAAATCAATGATAAGCGTTGTCTGCATAAGTCCCATTGCATGAACATTTTTGTTGAAACTTTTCCTAATAATTGCTTTTTCTCATGATAACGCCACATGCAGCGATTGAATGCCCAGGTTGTTGAATCAATAAATCTTTAATAGCAATCCATGTAACTATTTTAAGATTTTTTATGCATTTCAACGCATCTAAACTGCAACATTTTCAGATTTGTCAATGCTTTTGAAAAATCAAAAGAGTCAAAACTTAACTATGTAGAAGAGATAAATGCGTTTATTCTATTCCCAAATATTTAAAAAAATAATCATTGCTGTGTGTCGAAATCGGACCGACATACCATTACGAATCATGATATAACGCTCAAATATCATGTGCAACAGAGTGATGGTTGTTTCAGCGAGATTTTGAACAATGAGCTCACACTTACCTGAAATAATAAATATAAAACATTTACAGTCAGTGTTTTTCTTTCGAAGATTAGAATGATTTTTTTTTTACAGAGAATTATATTTTGAGTTTAGAATATAGTTTTAAAATAATCAAATTTTGTCGTTAACAAAGGATACAATGGTTTGACAAAACGTAGCATTAAAAAATTTTGATAATAGACTGCTTTATTACAATCTAGGAAATTTTATCAATGTTAATAGACAACTATATATGATGATATGATATCATCAACTAACAATACATATTATCTATCATAGTAGTGGAGGTTCTCTCTCTGTCTTGTCTAGTAATACCAAGAATTTTTGATAAATAATTTAATAAAAAAATCATAATTAATCAAAACATATTCTGACAACAAACATTTTACTAGCTTTATTCTAATAGTGAGAATACGCATATATTCTAAAAAGAAAGCGAATCGAATCAGACAATATTATATTACAACATATACATTACTAGATATTAGATTATATTAGAAAAATGATCTAGAAGATAACAGGAAATATTTCTATCTCTTTGTTGTACATTCAGTGAAACAATAAAAGAAAGTTAATCTACACATCGAAGATTGATTATTTTATTTCATGTTGTTACCAACTTGATTTCGATTTATTGGTAACAGTGAATTAAGCAAGTTATAAGACAGAACGAAAGAAATAAAATAACGAAAAAACATTTCTTTACGACTAGATAACAAAATTATCGTTACAACATATTGGACGGATAATAGTAATTTGTATTGATTCGACTGCAATAAATAGTAGTTTCTTTTCTTTTTAATATAGTCTATAATGATTTTCTTTCGTTGCACATCGACTATATTCTAATGAAAATTTTCATTAAATAAAATTTTTCATATCTGATTGTTCTAGATTATTGAATATTTCTACATTTTCAAATTTTTCATGGGTCGTAATTATAAAGAACAAACAAGAACTGAAATATTAGCTATTGGTATTGAAGGTGATCGTCATTCATTATGTGGTGCTATTAAAAGATTTGAACTTAATGGTAAACAATGGAATGGTTTACTTTCTCTCAAAGAACAATGTGCACGTTATATTGTTCTTATTAAAAATGAACAAATTAAATGGTTTATTACTGCTTATTTATCTCCAAATTTATTTAAATATGTAACAAAAGATATATTTAATTTACGACGACGTGAATTTCGATTAAATTATGCAAAACCTTTATATATGTGTCAAGAATGTACAATGGATACTTATGAAGATCCATCAGATGATTGTCAATGTCCACAAATAGATACGGCAATAGATGCCTTGAATAATTATCTTTTTCAACAAAAGACGACAAAAATTAATAAATCAAAAAAATTTGAAATTATTTATAAAATACCAAATGATGAAATGGATCATAGTGATGAATTAAAAAGTTCAACATCATTTTTTCTTTATCTTTCACCAAGTCAATACAATGCTGAAACTTATATGGATGATGAACCTTTTGATGAATATAATTTAATTAATTCACATATATCTGCAAAAGATAAACTTTTATTTGTTGATACTATGCGTTTTTTTGGTGGATTTCGAACTAAATATCAAGAACCTCAACTTATTTTTTATCGTCGTAGTGAATTAGAACTTTAGAAATAGATGTTTTAATTTAGATTTTGTTTGTATAGATATTTTGAAATAATAAATTTATTTATTTGATTAGACAGAAAAATATTCTAGTTGATAATAATATAAAAAATATTTAAGTCTTTATATATTCACATAAAAGAATGTTTTTTTTTAATGATATTTTTATTATTTTATAAAAAAAGAAAAATCATAATTATTGTGTATTCATGGTAATGATAGTATCATTATACTGTGAAAGTCATTTATGAATGGCTAATAATTTATCTAGAACTATTCGAGTTTCATCATAACACATCTAATATTTGTATGAAATCTACATAAGTAAACATCTATTGATATGTAAATCGATGACAGTAAGTTTTTTGTAATCGTCAATACTATAATAGGTTACTGATGACGTTAAATATATCCAAAATCAATAAATTACATTCTATAGTGAAAATATCTGACTTATATCTTCATCTGGTTGTTTCACTTACATATTTCTTTTTACTAAACATTCTTTGTTAAAATAATTGATCATTAATAATTGGTCCTCATTTGGGCAAAGTTCTGCAAGCATAACTCTTCACATATTTGTATATATATATACATATATAAGTCTGTTGTAATCTCAAACAGAAACATTACATCAATAATAAATTGCGCAACAAGTATGAGTATGTAGCTATTTTACAATCGCATTATTTTTTGATTCTTCTGAAAAGAAGACATTCTATTATTGATATTGGTAATAATCGTTTGGAACAACTTATACTTGATGGATGTCATTCAATCGATTTAACTTTTGATCATTTTGAGTAGCTCTATAAATTACTTTTTAGACGGGTTTTATTTACATGTCATGTCTCGTATCAGCAATCAGATTCAATCATTGACACTCAACATTTCACATATTCCTAATCTTATCAATTTTGCTGAACAAAACTGTAATGAAACTCTTCCAAATTTAATACATGTGAAAATGAAAATAACGACTGGTAGACAATGTCATAAAACAGATAAATCTTACATATAAAGTAAATTATTGTTAAGTGTATTTTCTAAGTTGTGTTTAAATATCACTTTAGTTCACTTTTTACTTAGAAAATAAAGGGAATTTTATGATTTGAGAATTTGAAAATCTCTTCTTGTCAATAGTTTATGTAAAACAAATCTGTACGCTACTTTCGTATAGAATATACCATAATATAAGATGACGAGAAAAAGGAATAATTGAAAAAAGAACTTATTTTTGTCCATGGACGACTATTGTATTACATATAGAAAACAATTTCTTCATACATGCGTCTGTAAAGATGAGAAGAATTCATGACATGTACATTTGCTTCTTAATAGCTAGTTTACTTATTCTAATTTCATTTCTATCATTGTAGACATATCATAATTCCAAAATTCCATTTACTTCACAATAAGCTCAAGTCCATCGTTAGAAGATATTAGTAACGACATAAGATCGAACCTGGGACTGAATGTAATATATTTTTCAACCTCAATAGATTGAGTAGAAAACGTTCAGTTACGATACTTTTTTTTAAGAACGTGTCTACAATCAAACATTTTTTCCGTCATGCTATGTTCGATCTGTGTATTTTAGACACACATAAAACGTGATTCAGATATATATATTAATGCAAAAAATATTGACATTGATTTATGAGAAAAAAAATGAATAGCTGATATAAAAATTGTATATAATAAATGACAAACAAGAAATGTTTTCTCTCATTACATTTTCGCTGTCTTACTTCATTTTTCATCAATGAATATATGCTTTTAACCTTGTACACGTTCTCTTTCGTTCTTTATCTTCACTATTCCTGTCAACATTATGTACAACGAACACGCCTCTATAAAAAATGTTTTCAAGCATTTCATTTTGAGACATCATCAACTTCTCACGTTGTCAATCAATTAATATATCTTATAAATATAAGGTATTTTATCGCTCAATTTTGTATAAAGAGAGATCCACAGAAAAGGAAGCGATAGTCGATGACCTGAAAACGACATGTTCGATTTCCATGAGTTATTAGCTCTTCATGATTTTAGAACTCAAGGATTTTCACGAATTAATTTGCACTTACAGCAACTAAGGATACTCTTGGTATTCGTACGATCATCAAAACTCATGAAAGTCATGAAAATTGGAACCTTTAGAAGTAAACACACCTATAGAGTTTACATAAGTTATTCAACTCTCAGAACTCAAACAACTCATGGATTTCTCTGAGCTTACTATGCTCATGCAGGTCAAGGAACCTTTGAGATTCATGCAACAGTGGCCAACTATACCATTAAAGAAACACTCATTGAACACATTGAACTAGCGGTGTATGAGCAAATGCTAATCACCGATCATCTAAATTTTTTAAGACAATACTAATGATTAACAAGATTAAAGAAATTTTATTTCTTGTATCATTTTGTCAGGAAATTCAACTTTATTATAACTATTTGTTTCAATATTCATCTTCAAATAAAGATAATAATCTATTAATTTAAATTAATTCTTGCATCTTTATTATTAGATTGAATCGTATTCATGGCACCTATAAATATTGATAGATTGAGAACGTTATTTCTACCATATGGTCTCATATATACTATTTTGGGTATAGTAATCGTGTGTCTTACTATCTTAACAATTGTCTATGCTAGTTTATGGCATAATACTAAAACTTCATTATATACATTTGCAATTGCAAATGGCATTATCGGTTATCCTATTCGTTTACCTAATGATGGTCGATATGTTCAATGGAACTTCTTACAAATGAATGATGTTTATGAATTATTACCACAAGATAGAGGTCGTAAAGGTGGTTTAGCTCGTGTTGCTTATATGCGACAATTATTAAAAGAAGAAAATCCAAATACTTATACAATTCTTGCTGGTGATCTTCTTTCTCCATCAGCTTTAAGTTTATCAAAAGTGAATGGAACAAGTCTAAATGGAAAACAAATGATAGCAACAATGAATAGTCTTGGACTTGATTTTATAACATTTGGAAATCATGAATTTGATTTATCTGAAAAAGATTTACTTAGTCGAATGAATGAATCAACATTTACTTGGATTAGTACAAATATATTTCGTCAAGATAATAATCAAATATTTGGATCAAGTATTTCTCATAAAATAATAACTATTGATACTATTCGAATTCTTTTCATTGGTTTAACTCTTGATGGAACTGGTAATTATGTTCGAATTATTAATCAATCATCATTAGTTAATTATGTTCAAACATTTTTAAAATTATTTCCAAATGGAACATATGATGTACTTGTTGCTATTACTCATTTAGATATGATAATAGATATTGAACTTGCTTTAAATATTCCACAAATTGATCTTATTATTGGTGGACATGAGCATGAAAATTATTATTATTTAAGAGGAACAAAATATATACCAATTTATAAAGCAGATTCTAATGCTTTTTCTGTTTATATACATCGTTGTGCATATAATTTAGATACAAAACGTCTTCGTATTTATAGTAATTTAGCACGAGTAACATCCGAAATACCAGATGAAGAAAAAACAGCTGCAGTAGCAAATTATTGGTTTAATTTAGGTATTGAAGGATTTCAAGCATTAGGTTATGAACCAAAAGCAATTCTATCATGTCTCCCAATTGGTATTGAATTAGATGGTAGATTTCAATCTGTTCTAAGTTATACAACACTTTTAACTGCTTCAATATGTGAAAGTATGTTACAATTAACAGTAGCAAATAAAACAACTATTGCAATTATTAATGGAGGAACAGTACGTATCGATGATATTCTTCGTGAAACAATTACACAATATGATATTTTACGTACATTACCTTTTGAAAATATGATTGTTGTTCTTTCTGTTCCTGGTCAATTACTTGCTCAAGTTCTCACTACTGGTATATCTTTAAAAGGAAAAGGAATGTTTATTGCTTATACTAGAGTAGAAACATTAGATGATGGTAAAACATGGTTATTCAATGGAACAGATATATTAAAAAGTGGATTTTATTATAATGTGGTAACAACAACATATGTACGAGATTATACACAATTAAACAATTCAAATGTAACTATTTTATATAATACTAATGTAACACAAACAAGAAGTTTAATGGACTATTTAAAATTCAAATATCCTCCTTGTTAGAAAAGAGAAAAATAAATAATATCTTTAAATTCATTTTGTTTGAGAAATGTTTTATTTTTCATTCAAATATCAAGAAAATGATGTATAAAATTTTGTGACAATAAGTTTATTATTGTGCAATATTTTAATAAAATCATAGATAACATGAAATTAATAAAGATCAGTAAAATTATATATGAATATGAAGTTGTGCTAGTAATATAGGTTTTTTCGAATTCAATTCTATTGGCTAACAAATTAATCAAACTCTCAAATACACTCTAGTTGAAGCAAAATTTATTGATGATTGTTTTGCAAATTTGAATTAATAACTATATGATATTCGGCAATAGTGTTAAAGATAAAGTAATCACTATAATTTTCAGATACATTATCATCTTGAGTTTTCATTATGTATGCTTGTACATTTTGTTATCTATTTTTATGTTTCAATAAAGTAAATGTAATATGATAATACTGAATAGAATATAGGCTTATGACTATTTTACGTCAAACGCTAGAGCATACGAAAACTTTATACAATGTAAAAACACGTAGAATAATACACCGTACGAAAGAACCAACGAGCCTCATAAAGTTTTGAAGGGAATTCTCTTTCTCTATTCTGGCCTAACATAATAAACATTACAATGTCATACCTACACTTATACTCATAATAAAACAAAGAAGATGATGCAATTCGAGTTTTCGCGACGAATTTCTTATTGTATCGTTATCAAACGAAGAGATTCAGTAAGTTTGAAATATTATCGAATCAATTTTAAAAGAAGAGAGGAGTTCAGAAAATTTAGCAGTGTTACTAGCAATAGCCACTGTTAGATTTAGAGCAGCGTTGACAAATAATAAA